CGTGTCTCGGGCATTGCGCGGCCTGTCTTGGCCGCTCCGTAAGCATGGTTCGTTCTCGTAGGGATCGTCGCGGAAGTTGACAAAGGCCAAGAAGAGGCCGTGCAATCCTGACTGTTGATACGCGAGCGCCATTCAAACCCATTCAAGTCGCGGTGTTTCGAGACGCCGTCCGCTGGTGCGTGAAAACATGGGCTCTGGTCTGGAAGTGGAGAGACGTCGTTTCGCGCGATGCGGACAGGGCGTCGCTAGTATCAAGCGCAGCACTAAGATGGGATGGCTGTTACGCTCAGCCTTGCGTCGTGCTTGTTGGTACCACTCAGGTGTTGTCCGAAAATGCCGACATGTATGTCTCTGAATCGATTGCGCTATCCGACGCCGCACCACAGACTGGGTGGTCGAGCTCTTCAAAATTGCAGGTCGTGCCAGCGCCCTTTTGGGCGCAGATATTGAGAATGCGATCAACGAGTGGTTGGTCAGAGTAGCCGGCGAGTGGCCGCTCTTGACTCTTCCCGGGCCATCCATAAAATCGCTCGGCGATCGCAGCCTCATCAACCTGTCGTAGTAACTCTTGCCTGACAAGCGCTCCGATAAGACCTGGAGCAACGCTGGCGATGGCCGAGACTCTCCGTCATCACCTCTTGTCTCAGCGCACTAGGGATATATCAGGACGAGAAACTCGTGGAATGGCTGTCTGACACTGACTCGATCCGCTCAGTTTCGCACTTCTGCGGCATTGTATTTGTGTAATCGGTCCGGACGCACTGTCTTTGTGGGACAGTTGTGTCGAAGGATCGCGCCCGCCAGAGATCGCGCACACACTGCAGAGTAAAGTGTGCACACGAACTCGTCGCACGTTTGGCAGCTGCGCTTAGTCGAAAATAGGCCAAACTTGACGTGGCAAAGAAATCACTTGCTACGTGCAGTTGGTGGCACGAGATGCGAGTCGCGAAGTATGGGAGCTGCCGAGAGGCGTTGCCTGCGGAGAAACATGTCAATATCGGCAGCGGCACGTGCTCGGCGCTTCATGCTGGCCCGGACGATGAACTAGGGTACGCGTCCGCCGAGTGTCATTTGCAGCATCTGGATGACTCGGACGTATTCGGGGTGGCCACTCTAAAGAAATACAGTACAAAGCCCGAACGCTGGAATGTGGTGCGCACGACACCGAGCGGAGCTTGCTAATAGTCTAGGCATCACGGCAGCGAAATGGACCGTAATGACCGCGCCCAGCCATCGGGGAGAGAAAAGTCGTCTTGGTACTCAAGGTTGCACCAATTGCGGTTGGCGACCATCGGGTACGGGCTCTCAAGCACAATCCACTTGGCGCCAACGTAATGGCGCGGTCGCGCCAGTTTCGGCGTTGCAAGTTGCGGCGCAGCCTTGAAAGCTGTGATACGGAAGAGACCCGAGGCACCATCAGTGGTGGCCGCCACCTCACTCAGTGACAGCGCCCATGAGCGCCGTGTCGGTGCATGCGAGGAGGTCCATGCCAACGTAAATCTCGATGCCAGCGTCGCTCATTGTTACGGCTGGGATCCGCGATCCAGCGCGTGTGTTCTCTTCTCCATGACAACTTGCAGTTCAAGATGAAGCTCAAGTTGCTAAGCCTCTACGAGCGGGTTTAGGTTTAGCTTTGTATATGGTCGATCGAATTCAGCTTTCCTTTTGCCTCCAAGCTCAAGTGTCCAACACTCATCGCATCCAGAGACCAGCGCACCAAGCCAGCGTTGAGACGCGCCAGATCAAACAGCTCGGAGAAACCCTCGGGCCCAATGTTTGTGGGGAATGCAGTCTCGGCGGCCGACAGTGGTGAGCATTGGAAGACGGTCAATGGCTCAATGGCACGGGAAATCCGCCCTTCGTCGTCATTGCTGCAAACTTGAGACTCCGCGCCCGTGGCGAGGAATTCACATAGCGAAGTGCACCAGCTGGAGCACGAACCAGCACGAAACAGGGGCTTCCATGGGATGAAGCCCGACAAACGTTGAACCGATGACCGCTACTGATAAGCTTATCAATAAAGTGTGTACTAGTACATATGCATTCGAAGCGCGGCGTTGAGCCAAGGACGGTCATGCGCTGTCTTTGGCGAACATCTCCGAACTTAGCGCAGCTCGGAGGATTTTCTATTGGAACCCACGGTTGAGCGCAAAGAGGAGGCAAAACGTGGCCTCGGGCATGCTACCGCGCGAGAACGCGATGCCGAATTCCACTCGTAGTGAATTTACTTGCACAAAATATTTGTCCTTTTACTGTTTGAGCAACATGTGCTGGTTGTCCCCACAGAACTACAGAGCCGTGAGTTGTCCAGCTCTGGCAACGATGTTATGCTTGCTATACAAGCAACAACAATAAAAGCATTCCCTTGAAATTATACGTTGATTTGGCGATCGATATAGCATTTAATGGTCCCAAGTGCAGGACTTGCTCGCTGTGCAACTTTAGATCGCGGCTTAGTCGTAAGCTATGAACGAGGGGTGTCGTATTGCTGCACGGTGTTACATGGCTGGGAGAAAATGCGCCATCATGAGCATGCCCAGAAACAACACAAAGAGAATTCCGGGCGTGAAGAAGCCCCAGACAGGCCAGAGGCCCAGGATGAAGCTATCCCATAAATCGCATCGAATGGGTCATCAAGTAGATAGCGTACATACCCAAGTGCACCAACGAGACCGACGACGGTCGCAGTGGGGATCATGCGTGGACAGTACACGCTCCACTCGAGGTCCACCTTGCGTACGTACGGTAGCCAAAGCGCCAGGTACGCCGTGATGCAGCCATTGACACCCGCGCTGGCGACACCGATGTTGAAGTAGAGCCTAGTAAGCCTGAGCTGTAGTTCGCCATAGCCGGGTACCGATGGACGCGTGGGTCACGCAGTGCAACGCGGACGACGTCGAGGTAGTACGCGAGAAGGCAGGCGCCAGCAACCCACAGCAACGCGTGCAGCTTGGTGCTAAGCCACTCAGCCTTGGACGGCGCCTTGGGCAGCGAGCGCTTCTTGAGGTCCTCGATCTCTTCGTCGAGCGTCGCGTCAAGGCTCTCTGTCTCCGTGTCTGCCGGCGCCAAGCGCTGGTATGAACCTGCTCGCGTGCGCATCTGCAACTGCCGCCTGTATCCGGACTGCTTCCGGAGCCTCAAAGATCCATTCGATCCGACCGAATAAAATGGCGCCAGAAGTCCCAGGGACGCTATCGGCGGTCGTGCGCTTGCGCCCGCAAACGACGTTGACGCCGTCCAGCGCTGTCGAGCCCCCGCTCGTGCATCGCGACCGGAACGGACTCGCGCTCGGCCGCTGGGAGGTGTCGTTGACGAGCTACGATGGCTTTGCGTTCTACATGGCCGCCTTCTGCACTTGTGTTCCACTCGCCCAGATATACGCACGTATTGGCTTGCGCCGGTACTGGCACGTGATCGCTTTCTACGGCGCGCTGCACGTTGCGTCGTGGGTTCTTGGGTACTTTTGGTTTTTGGACAGTATCTGGCCAACCGTGCGCGGGCGAGGCCTCTTCGGTGTGCTCTCCGCGCCATGGAGGTTTGACGCTGGGACGTCCAAGTCTATTGCGTGGTGCGCCGTACTTCTGCTTGCAATTGTTTACCGCATACATTTGCGGTGGCGACTGCGTCGGCTCTTTGCGATCCCTGGGCACCTCTGGCATGACGCGATTGTGACGATATTGTGTAGCTGCTGCGCCGTCTCGCAAATGGCCCAGCACACAACAGCGTACACGCCTGGTGAGCTAATCTCGGTTATGCCCAAGGATACTCTACCCGGCTATGAAGTATTGTAGCTGCCCGAACTGTTGTCCGTGGCTCGGTGCATCGTGCAAAACGGTACACCCTTGGTGTAGAGCGCACCTCCCCCGTTGATGCCATAATGTCGTAAGACCGAACTTATACAGGATCAAATTCTTCAGTACGTTCAGTTTTACTTTGTTTTCAAAGTTGACATAATGTCGTAAGAGAAAGTTGATGTCAGTGTCTGTCTTTGAAGACAATGACGGCGTATGCTCGACGCGTTCACAGGGTATATGTATACGGTGAAGCTTGCATTGGGTTTCTTGCATGCCTTCGCGGCGCAAGTTGAGAGCCATTTTTTAAGTGAACCCCTTTGGCGGTGGACGAAATACGTAACAGCACTTCACCGACATATAACATATAAAGGCTAGGTCTTTTACGACATTATGGCATCAACGGGGGAGGTGCGCTCTACACCAAGGGTGTACCGTTTTGCACGATGCACCGAGCCACGGACAACAGTTCGGGCAGCTACAATACTTCATAGCCGGGTAGAGTATCCTTGGGCATAACCGAGATTAGCTCACCAGGCGTGTACGCTGTTGTGTGCTGGGCCATTTGCGAGACGGCGCAGCAGCTACACAATATCGTCACAATCGCGTCATGTCAGAGGTGCCCAGGGATCGCAAAGAGCCGACGCAGTCGCCACCGCAAGTTTATGCGGTAAGCAATTGCAAGCCGAAGTACGGTGTACCACGCAATAGACTTGGATGTCCCAGCGTCAAACCTCCATGGCGCGGAGAGCGCACCGAAGAGGCCTCGCCCGCGCACGGTTGGCCAGATACTGTCCAAAAACCAAAAGTACCCAAGAACCCACGACGCAACGTGCAGCGCGCCGTAGAAAGCGATCACGTGCCAGTACCGGCGCAATCCAATACGTGTGTATATCTGGGCGAGTGGAATACAAGTGCAGAAGGCGGCCATGTAGAACGCAAAGCCATCGTAGCTCGTCAACGACACCTCCCAGCGGCCGAGCGCGAGTCCGTTCCGGTCGCGATGCACGAGCGGGGGCTCGACAGCGCTGGACGGCGTCAACGTCGTTTGCGGGCGCAAGCGCACGACCGCCGATAGCGTCCCTGGGACTTCTGGCGCCATTTTATTCGGTCGGATCGAATGGATCTTTGAGGCTCCGGAAGCAGTCCGGATACAGGCGGCAGTTGCAGATGCGCACGCGAGCAGGTTCATACCAGCGCTTGGCGCCGGCAGACACGGAGACAGAGAGCCTTGACGCGACGCTCGACGAAGAGATCGAGGACCTCAAGAAGCGCTCGCTGCCCAAGGCGCCGTCCAAGGCTGAGTGGCTTAGCACCAAGCTGCACGCGTTGCTGTGGGTTGCTGGCGCCTGCCTTCTCGCGTACTACCTCGACGTCGTCCGCGTTGCACTGCGTGACCCACGCGTCCATCGGTACCCGGCTATGGCGAACTGCAGCTCAGGCTTACTAGGCTCTACTTCAACATCGGTGTCGTCTGCGCGGGTGTCAATGGCTGCATCACGGCGTACCTGGCGCTTTGGCTACCGTACGTACGCAAGGTGGACCTTGAGTGGAGCGTGTACTGTCCACGCATGATCCCCACTGCGACCGTCGTCGGTCTCGTTGGTGCACTTGGGTATGTACGCTATCTACTTGATGACCCATTCGATGCGATTTATGGGATAGCTTCATCCTGGGCCTCTGGCCTGTCTGGGGCTTCTTTACGCCCGGAATTCTCTTTGTGTTGTTTCTGGGCATGCTCATGATGGCGCATTTTCTCCCAGCCATGTAACACCGTGCAGCAATACGACACCCCTCGTTCATAGCTTACGATTGAGCCGCGATCTAAAGTTGCACAGCGAGCAAGTCCTTGTAGAGCACAAGCGAGGTATCCGATTTCTTGCAGATGTGCCAGGCACTAGTGGCATCGTTGATACTCCAGTGCAATTGGCAGCCTGTATGTTGTACACATTGTACGGCACATTGATGCCCGAGCTCCACGCAGGCACGGAGACCACCACGCTGCAACCTACGACGGTGCTCTCATTATGCTGCCGACAAGTTGAAGAGAGATTCTTACAAGCCGGCGAAAAATCCACCCAAGAAAGCATCACCAGCACCCGTCGTGTCGTGGAGGTGAAAACCGTGTGGAATCTGGACGGGGACCACTACAGGTCTACGCCAACCCATTAGAATAGATACCGCAAGCATTCTTCTCATCGTACAACTGATCACGTCGATATACTTTTGTCGGTGCAGCCGAGTTGGTGACGAGCACGAGAGGGCGTGGCGTGCGCAGAATGTTGACAAGCAGCTCGGATGCCACATGGTCCACGGACGGGGTGTCCAGTCGAAGGGCAGCACCAAGTGCCAGCACCTCTTGAGCATTTCCAATAAGCACTTGGACGTGGCACAAAATGTTGCGGAGTCGTGCGACGACATCGGGGTTCTAGACACTCATAACACGAGAATGTATCGCGTTAACCAACCTGCATGAGACCCGATGACGAAATGTTGAGACAAATGACATGGCGACTTGGGTCGTGGTGCTCGATAAGATAGCGCACGCATTCGTAGCGCGGTGCCGACGACAGCGCAAAGGCAACAACGTACAGAACGTGCGTTGCAGCCAAGCAAGTATCGAGTGACGCCGCGTCCAGTGTGTAACACAAATGCGCGGAGCGCTGCGTAATGAGCGTGCGCTCTTTGCTTGGTGATACGAGCGCGAGGCAAGTGGATGTGGGCAGACCAGCGCGTGTCTGGACGTGAGTCATATCGACGCCGGCGTCCGTGCACCGCGAGCGGAGAAAGTCGCCGTTGAAATCATCGCCAATGGCCCCGATAAACAGCGATGTCTTCGGTGGCATGAACGCCTGTTATCGGAGCCATAAATGAGCGTTCAAAGGCCAAGAGAGCAATCGCAACCTGGACGACTCGAGCAGTGTTGAGAGCCGAACCACCAGGCACACGTTCCGTAGTTGGATCTTGAAGTGCTCTCTCCATGATCAATGATCGTTCGTCAACCGTAAGGAGCAAGTGAGTCTACATGAGTATAGATTTGCGCATGTAAGCTCAGAATCGAGCGTTCTTATACCTCTTGGCCTTCGACAACTCCAAGGCTCGATATATACTGTCCAATACGTTGCCATAAGAACTAGCAGCGCAGACGAGTTAAGCGTAGTACCTGTAGGGGGACCTGGCGAATCATATCCACCATCGGGTTACCGAAGGCCAGGAGCCGCAGGCTGTTGGCACCGATCATGCGCTGCGGTGGCAGAATTGCGGAGACGGACAACGCCAATTGGCCTCCACCCGATACTGTCAGATATGATAACCCCCTTAAATACATTTTACTATACGAGCCTACGTATTTCATTCGAAACCAAACGTCCCCTGTAGTATATGCCAAAGGTTTTGTTTGTGTACATGTCTACGATCGGACATGAAGGGACCGGTGGACAGGTTCCTCATGCAACGCTGTGAGCGAGCGCTTCGGTGGAGGAAAAAGTGCCAATTCCAACACGTGGGAGCAGTTTTCGCGCAAGGCCGAGCGTTCCTGAAGACCAAGGTAGTGAGGTAGGAAGCACACACACGTTACAAGATCCAGACGCAGAACGATCGAGCTCGAGCGATCCACGAATTTTCGGTATCAGTCGAAAACCAAGCTTCCGCAAGTACAATGCTTTTCACGGCGACATCTGCGGCATCTGCGCGGAAGCGTTGCTTAGTCTCTCAATGGTGGTTTCCAGTTCAGTGCGCCTCGAGGAAGGCGCTTGGTGGTCGGCGTCATTATCGATGGGTCCGCACGCGACAATGGCCGTCGGGCTTGCTAAGCACCGCGGTTTAAATTGTGTTTTGTCATGACGCTGCCACCCTTCGCACCTGAGCCTGAAACTTCAGCATTTTCTAGCGCCCCTGCCAATTGCGTCCCTGGCGCTTGTGGGTGAGTGGGTGCGATACGATCCGCCTTGCTTTCCCATCTCCGCACCTTTTTTGTTCGACGGGCGCGCCAATTCCACTCAATGCTCGTCTACATCAACACGTTCGGCTCCGCGATCTCAGCGTTGTATGACGTGGGTGCGCATACCTTAGTCATTGATCTGCTCAACAACACCAATAATTTTTTCTCGGTAACGCGACTTCGTCAGTGCCGTTGCTCAATAAGACGTTCGCGGTTTTCTTTTTCCCTCTCGCGACGGCATTGTTGGCGTCGCTGCAGCCATCACTAGCTTCCGGGGCACAGCCCCGCGTCCGAGTTCACGCCCAGCGTCGGCAAGCCACAAGGTGGTGGCAATACGTCGGGCCATCGCAGGCCGGTGTCA